CCCTGAGGTCAGCAGACCAGTTGCTCCTCACAGTTCCAGGAACTCGTCTTAAGCGCAGAGGTGACAGGGCCTTCTCTGTAGCAGGACCAAGACTTTGGAACGAGTTACCTCTGCTTGTCAGACAGGCCCCCTCCCTCTCAGTTTTCAAGTCCCATTTAAAAACCCACTACTATTCAGTAGCATTCAACACCAGATGATCTGTGTTTTGAATCTGTATGCTCCACACTGGTTAGTCGCCATTATCTGCATCGTTTTTATGTCTATATTCTATTTACTTCATTTTGTATATTGCTTTGTGTGTTACCTGTTGTTCTGTCTGTACAGCACTTTGGTTGGCCTTGTCGCTGTTTTAAGTGCTCTATAAATAAAATGGTATGGTGTTATAGCTGAGAATGCTAACTCTGCCCATGAACCATATGTTTGGGTCAGCAGAGAGAGCTGGATGAGGAGCTAAATGAGGCTGCAGCATGCAGCTTGCTCCAAGGACAACTCAGAGTCTGTGAGCTCGGCTGAACTGATAAGAGTATAAAAACAAGCTTCACAGCCGACTCGTGGCAGACTCTCGTGACTGGTCTTCATGTGTGTACTTCCTGTAGTATATCTATCTGTGTAACCTGTCCTGAAAATCTGACCTTGCAAGTAAATACCAGTTAAAAATCTTCTCTTGCGGTCGAGTATGGCTCCTTTTGAGTAAGTAAGATAAAACGAGAATATTCTTCTCCAACAGAATCAGGTACATACTTTGCAAATACTGGGCTGTTTTATGTACTGGGCTTATGTTGTGCTTCCTAAATGCATGAAAATGGTCTGCAGGTTCAAACTAGTGTCCGCAATAAATACATTTTTTTTTTTTCAAATAAGTCACTTCTTCTAAACTGCACGAACACTTTGTGATTCTTTTCTTCCATTGCTAACCCATCTTATTATCAGCAGCATTTTACAGCAGTAGGAGACATTGCTGGCTATACTTTTGTTTAAACAGTTATTTTATCCATTTCTAATCTTTTTCTTGTTTATATCTGGTAATGGCTGGATGTACTTTTCTTGAGCTTGATGACAATTAAATACACGCCTCCCTCTAAACAATCTTTCTTTCCATCCATCTTGCTTAAACAATCTCTTTTTTGTTCTCCCCAGATATAAAGAAACTGCTGCTTGCCCAGTATGAGGGAGCATCTCTGCATTGGCTGTTTTCCAGTCAGCTGTATGTACTGGTCTGGATGGTAAAACTCCAGTGATTCCAAGAAGGCCTGAAGACCCCGCTGGCCCTGGCCTCGGAGAATGTCCAGCAGACGACCTGTGAGATAAAAAAAAAGGAGTAAAAAAAGTTTTTTTCCAAAGACGTCAAACCATTTCATGCATTCCAAAAATGAACACCTTGTCCTGTCATTCTTTTAGTTCCTTAAACTAACCACAAAAATGCTGTCTCTTTGATTTGAGCGTCACCTCCTCTCTAATTACACAGACAAGATCATGATGAACGACTGACATTACCAAACTTACTCACACAAAACAACATTAACTCGGTTTTGGGCCAGGTGTTTCTCTTCATCTCAGTTTTATCTGCAATCTCTTATCTTTACCAACATTTACTCCTTAGTCACCTTCTAATCTCAGTTCCTGCAGGTTTATCTCACTTTTTCTTGGCTCTTGCTAAAATGTTCAGATTTTATTAAGGAGTTTTGAAAAAGAAAAATTGTGCATTTACACATTTAACATAGATCATGTATAATTTTTTAGTTTTTGTCTTTAAGGCAGTGTTATCAAACTTTATACAACATTTTATAAAGACCTCCTCCTTGTCTTATCACCGCCTGGCGAAAAGCAAAAGGTGAAAGGCAGGCAATAATATTGTGTGTGTGTGTGTGTGTGTGTTTTAATAAAACTCTCAGAAAGTAATTATAGTCTGTACATCAAATGATTAATCAAGTTCAGCTAACACAAAAACAGCCATTCCGCGTTCAATTTTACAGAAATTGAGCTACAATCTGGTTTGGTAGTAGCTGAGAGTCATCTCCAACACATATTCTGAGCGTGAGAGCATGAACAATGTAAATTTTATAAGTACCGTACAACCCTAACGGCTTTCCTTCAGAAAATTTCTAATTGTAAGATAATCTTAGTTTAAAACTCTGACATGAGAGGCAGGGGGAGATATGCAATCCTTCAAGATTCCCAAATGCAGGCAGAAGAGGCAGCAGGCAGGCAAGCTGGAACTTAATTAACTCAAATATAGTTAGACTGAAACAAAGTGAAGCAGAAATATGGTGTGACTTGAGAGTAAAACCAATACCAGAGACAAGGAAGCAACAAGAACCTGACCGAGAACTGAATACTGCAGGACATCATGGTGCACTGACTGAAAGTGAATCCTGATGTGACAGATGGAGGAAGTAAACTTAACCAAAAGCCCAAGTGAAACCGTATGGTGCAGTGGCAAAATAAACTTGACTTGACTAGAGAACAAAAAACAAAATGTAACGTGGTGTTTCACCGGGCTGAGATCGAGGCCATCTGACAAGTCAAGATTGTGAGAAAATGGGCAACTTTTTGTTGCAGGCTCAATGAATTTGGAGTGTGTGAGCTAGTGAGCAGGTTGAGAGACCAATTTCTGAAAATTCCAGCTCGTTGGTGTGTGCACGGCTTGCAAAACTGCATTCTAGGCCGTGCACATTATTTTGTTGCCCACTGCCATCCACACTGTACCCCTCTCGGTCCGTTTTGCACCTACCTAAGCAGACGCCCTCAAATTTATACATCGATCTACTGAAGTACATGTTTGAAATGAAGATAAACAGGTGTGGACCACTTTTTTAAAAATCATCATCACAATGGTTTTTAAACCTGGATGTTTGGGGCTGGAGCCTCGGGTGTTTTCTGTCTTAAGCGAGCTCCTGTGAAGGTGTCAAGATCTACAATCTACATAACGACGTAGGTCAGATCATTCCTGGTACATCCTTACATGCCAACGATACAGTTGTTTATTGTCGCGCTAAATCATTGAAATACTTGGGAATCTTGGTCGATGCACATCTCTCTCTTAAGCCTCATATCGAAAACGTGATAAAAAAATCAAAATTAAAATTGACACCTTATAACTGCTACTTTCCTTCCCTCCATTGACTATGGTGACTTCATTTACATGAAGGCTTCTCTAAGCACCTTGCAGATGTTGGATGCTGTCTATTATGGTGCGCTAAGATTCATAACTGGCTGTAACTATCGTACCCACCACTGCACCCTGTATTCACTGGTTAACTGGTCATCATTAACTTCATGCAGACTCTCTCACTGGTACATTTTCATATTTAAAACACTTCTTGGTCTGCTGCCTTCATACATCTCCTCCTACGTGTCATGTCGCCAGTGCAGCTACAGCGTGCGCTCTCAAGACATCATTACCTGCAGTGTCCCCTCACTGCAGACTGAATTTGACAAAAGGGCCTTCTCCTACTCTGCTCCTGTTTCCTGGAACACTTTGCAAAAAGATCTTAAGCTCTCGACCTTGACCTCTCTTAGGGATTTTAAACAACTGTTAAGTTTAATGCAAAAATCAATGCAGACATGTTCCTGTTTTAGTTACCCTGTTTCATAATGTAGCTTGTTTTTATTTTGTTTTGTATCACTACTTTTATTTACTTTTAGTTTTATATGTTTTTATGACAGTTTGTTGTGTGTACCTCTGTGGTTTTGTTTAAAACAGGTCTCTTGTAAATGAGTCCTCATGACTCAGTGAGGCTAACCTGTATAAATAATGATTGAATGGGAAAAAAATACAGCTTTGGAGTTCTTGAGACAGATCGGGGACACAACTGAGATGGGTTTGAGACAGCTGCAACATCGTTGTGTTGCACAAATTTTTGGAACACGTTTAAAACACAAATAAATGACTCAGCTGCAACTCAGATGAGGAAACTGAGGAGCCCCTACAAATGTTTTGAGACATTTTGAAAACCAACTAGTCACCAGAAGCTGCAGCTCACTGAGAGGCAAAAAAAGCAGCAAGAAACCAGCAAGGATCTGGGCAGGAACCGATGAAACTGGACTGAAAACATTCTGAAAGGACTTAGAGGTCATTTGCAAAATGGAAACTAGGGGTAACAGGGCATTTAAACAAAGAACAGGAAATACCAAAGTAAAACAGGAAGAGTGCTAACAGAACAAGAAACTATGTCACTGATTAAAATCATAGCAGTAATCAAAATAAATAGGAAGCATGCAAAACTGTGAAGAACCAGAAGTGTTTTGACTCTGCTCGTTAGATTAAAAAAAATAACATCTCATCATGACAAACGCTCACACTTTCTCATCATTTATTCAAATTTTGCCTCAGATCTGACTCTTCTAACTCTCACCAGCCTTGCTGATGCGCATGGGGTACTGCGTTGAGTTGAGCACCTCATCCTCGTCCTGCTCATCGATGACCTTGCACTGCCGCAGGTAGGGCGTGAATTTGGCCGGGTTGAGAATGCGCGTGAGCTTGTGACGCCTTCCCTCTATGCGGTCCCACAGCTCCTCATAGAGCTCCTCCGACCAGGCAGGGGAGGACCGTGCCTCCTCCTGAGTTACATCTTCCTCTGCCCAGTCTGTAACGCCTGAATGGAACCGAAAAAACTTTAAGAATTTCAGGAATAATTAGAGACAAGTACTTAAAAATCTGCACACTGAAAATGATAATTCAGTTAAATTGATTTTATTTGTACAGTATAGCACAATTTCACAAAAATGCAGTCTCAAGGCACTATACAGTAAAAACACGTCCATTCAAGTCAGTTTTCATTCCATTTAGAGCAAATTCAATCAAATTAAAATGCAATACAATCACTTCGGTGCAATTTAAAATCCCAGTTAGTAGAAACATTGTTTAACTCAGAGGTTGAACAAATTGTGACAAATAAATGGTAAATGGACTGTTCTTATATAGCGCCTTTCTATCTTATCAAGATACTCAAAGCTCTTTACAACATGACCTGTGCCTCATTTATCCATTCATACAGCACTCTACTAGATCTCTACAAAGACTAATCAGTGCTTTATTACATTCATACACCAACGGGAAGCAATGAGAGGGCAGGGACACTTCAGCATGTGACTGCTAGGGGAATTGAACCCCCAACTCTCCCACTGGCAGACAACTGCTCTAACCACTCATCCACAGCTGCCCCAAATAAGAAAGCGCTGATGCATTCATGGGGAAAAGAAAGCCCCCATATTTCAGTTCTATGATTTTACACATCAGGGCATGATAAAAAAAAAATCTAAAATCATGTAAATCCAACCTCAAGTGTGCAAAACCCCACACCAACATGTCAGTATTTCTTAAACAGAAATAATGTCAAAATGGAAAAGCTAGGTGTGGAAAAACTTAGTCCACTCCATGATTCATTCATTCATTCATTCATTCATTCATTCATTCATTCAACCTTTATTTAGACAGGTTAATCCCATTGAGCCTCGAGGACTCATTTACAAGAGAGCTTTCATCAGCTTTAGGTTTTGAAATGAACCTCAAGGCACCTGGAGACCAAAGTAGAGATGTTTCCCACAATGCACTGCGCCATAAAATCCAGGTCATATCTCAGCACAAACACCTCATACCGACGGCCAAGAACAGTGGTGGAGGAATGATGATTTGGGCTTGTTTTGCAGCTGCAAGACTAGAACACCCCGTGTTATATTGGGTTAAATATAATAATATATTCCTCTGTTTCAGCAAATCTACAATAGGACGGCTCAGAAGAAAATAAATCAAAGTGTTGCAATGATCCAGTTAAACTCCTGACTGAATGAAATGCTGAGGTTGGACCTTCAGAACATTGTTCAGAAACAAATGTCAAACAAAAGAAACAATGTAAAAAGAGTGGCTCTTCTAAAGGCTGTTGAATCCTGGTAAAGACTTATTTTTTACACAGCCATTTTGACTTCATTAAAGTTTAATAAATAGCGCCACAATATAATCAGTTGTGTGTTTGAACATATTACATTTGAATATTTCCAAAAGACAAAGTTATTTTATGATGATGATGACATCATCACCATCAGATATTTTAAGAGTTACCCGAACAGAAAGCCTTGGCTGAAAGCAGAGGTTTGCACCCTGCTGGAAGCCAGGAACACTGCCTTCAGGTCTGGAAACTCACAGGAGCTGAGAAGGACAAGGAAAGAGCTGGTTGCTGGTATTAAGAAGGCCAAGGCTACATATGCACAGAGGATCGGGGGTCAATTCACCTCACAAGACCCTTGGAGCATGTGAAGGGGCATTAAGTGTATAACAGATTATAAAATAGGAGTGAACAATGCCCTAGAAACCCATCACTGCCTGTTGCTCTCAACAAGTTCTACGCAGGCTTTGTAGACCCAAACAGATCACCCAGCACCAGACTCACCTCACCACTGGATGAAGAGATTCTCAGCGTGACCTCAGCCAAAGTGAGGAGTACCTTCAGGAGGATTAATCCTCACAAAGCAACCGGCCCAGACAACATCCTCGGGAAAGTCTTAAAAGAATGTGCCGATCAGCTCTGCGAGGTGCTGGCAGACATCTTTAACACCTCACTTACCCTGGCAACAGTTTCCACCTGCCTGAAGACTGCCACCATCATCCCAGCCCCAAAGAGCTCTACAATGACTGGTCTGAATGACTATCGGCCAGTGGCCCTCACCCCGATAGTCACTAAATGCTTTAAAAAAAACCTGGTCATGACCCACATCAAAACAACCATCAACATCAACGAGGACCCTCATCAGTACGCATACCGTGAGAACTGATCAACAGAGGATGCCATCTCCTCTGTGGTCCACACTGCACTCACCCACCTGGAGCAGGAGGACTCCTACATCCGTTTACTCTTTGTGGACTTCACGTCTGCCTTCAACACAATGATCTCCCAAACCCTGATGGACAAACTACTCACACTAGGACTAAGCCCCTCCATTAGCAACTGGGTCCTAGACTTTTTAACAAACAGACCACAGTCAGTGAGGATCCACAACATCTCCTCCTCCACCATAACACTCAGTACTGGCTCTCCTCAGGGATGTGTGTTGAGCCCCCTCCTGTTTACTCTGCTCACATATGATTGTGCAGCTACCCATCCAGGCTGTCACATTGTAAAGTTTGCAGATGATACAGTGGTGGTGGGATGCATCACAAACAATGATGAGTCCAGCTACAGGCAAGAGGTGGAACACCTGGAGAGCTGGAAGAACAACCTTCACATCAATGTTAAGAAGATGAAGGAGATGGTCATGGACTTCAGACAGAACAAACACCCCCCTGAGGAGGATCTTTGGTGAAAGTGGTCTCCAGTTACAAGTACTTGGGTGTACACATGAACAACAACCTCAGCTGGAGCAACAACACTTCCAGCCTGATCAAGAAAGCTCATCAGAGACTACTTCCTCAGACGGCTGAGACGAGCTGGTCTGGGAAGCTCAGTCCTCACCTCCTTCTACAGGTGTGCAGCGGAGAGCATCCTATGCTCCAGCATCAACGTGTGGCATGGAGGCTGCACAGCTGCAGAAAGAAAAGCTTTGCAGAGAGTGGTGAAGGCTGCACAGAAGACTGTTGGAGTCAGCCTCCCCACCATCACAGACATCTACACCTCCAGATGCAGGAAGAGGGCCACCTGCATCATGAAGGACCTCACTCACCCAGCACACACACTTTTTGCCCCGCTCCCCTCAGGAAGGAGGTTGAGGAGCATTAAGTGTAGAACCACTAGACTGAGGAACAGCTTCTACCCTGAGTCTGTTAGACTCATGAATCTCTAACCAGAATAATCACTGTGAAAAATCACATCATGTTGCTGCTGATCTGTTTCATGTTGCTGCTGATCTGTTTCATGTTGCTGCTGATTTGCTGTTTAATACTGCTGTGTTCATTCGTGCTCATCTGCTCACATAGACTCATGTTTGTGCTGCTGTTCAACGTAATGTTTTTATACTACTAGTGCTTAGTGTATATTTAGTTTATATTTTTCTTAGTTGTATCTTAGATCTTATTACCATTTTTCTTTTACATTTTATTGTGGGATGTAATTGGGACACTGTGAACATAATCTTGTTCCACCACGTGTACCACATGTGGTGTAAATAAAGAAACTCTGACTCTGAATATTTTTACGATGTCCTGATATGAAATGAAAGAGTGTGGACATCCTTTTTGCCACAGCTGCACTTTTTCCCCATCAATTAATCTCAGTTTACAAAAAAAAATAATATATGTTGGCAACATTTAGACTTGTGTTTCTGAATGTCCCATCATCAACTCATGAGTAGCAGACAACTCAAAAATAAATTTTTAGACTAAATACCCAGGAGGAGGAGACCCAATTCCCAGGAGGATGTTTGTTTATATCCGTTTACTTTAATCTGTATGTCATAACTTTCAAAAGCGGGTTTCAGCTGAAAAGGTAATTTGTGCCTTTTTGATTAAATACTTTAATAAACTAGTTTGTGCTTTTCAAACAAGCTAAATGTTGATGTTCTTTGAGTAGAAGAAAAAATATAGAAAATATTTGGGCCTTTGCTCCAGTGAGCTTCTTCCTTAAGGTCTGCCAAGGAAAGGGTCAAGGGGGCTTTGACTTCCCACAGAACATCCTTCGGACATTGAGCCCGTTATCTTGATGCTGTTTCCTGAAGTTTTCAGCAAGGCACCATAACAGCTGAAAGGAGTAAAACATTATCTTGAAGTGACTTAATGAGATGAAAATTACTGGCAGCAACGAGCAGACAGCAGCGGTGGATTCAGACGGGTCTGGTGTTCAGTGGGGCAATTTCTCTGAATCATTGTCTAAGAGCACAGGAATGAAAACAATGATCGCACCAGAACATCTAAACACAAACCAGGAGACCACAGATAAAAACTTTCTCAGCTCCGCTCACTTCAGTGCACAACAAGAGAAAGTGACTGTGATGAATGCAGGAAGCTGCAGAGCTTCACAGATCATTTAAAGCTCTATTCTCGTTCAGGAAGTGCTGGCAGGAGACACTTTATACCAGCTTCAAACAAAAATCAGAAAGAATCTGAGTCAGAGGCATTAAAGTAAAACAAACCCTGACAGCCTGCACTGACCGGGAAGGGAAAACTATTAATGAGTTTATTAGTGTTGGTGTGACAAACCTAACAAGCGTTGTGTTTGAACTGAAAGCGGGCGTAGCCAGCCCTGCATGAAAAAAGCATCCGCCCCCAAAATGTAGCTTCTTTTAATTGGGGGCACCTATTATTCTACACCTCGGAAGAGTGTTTACATTTCTATCTCCGTTAATGTGGCCCGAACCACAATGTCTACCCCCACAAGTGTTGTATCAAAACGACTGGCTCGGCCCCGTGATGTGTGCTATTACTTTTATTGGCGTTTCGAGTTACCATGGCGACATAATTTGCAAACAAAGACGCAATATTTCACCAACTCGAACAAAGACGCAATATTTCACCAACTCCAGGAACTAGTTGGTGACTGCCCACTTATTATTCTACACCTGAAAAGTGTATCTTTTTCAACTTTAATTTGGCCCGAACCGCAATGTGCACCCCCACAAAAGTTATATCAAAACAACCGGCCCGGCTCCGGGAAGTGTGCAATTACTTTTATTGGCATTCGCAGTTACCATGGCGACATATTTTGCTAACAAATATGCCAAATTTACCATAGAAAATTAATAGGAGAAAACTCTTCACAGAAACTGAGTAACATATGGAGCCATTTTGGTTCAACATGCATGGAAGGCACCTATTATTAGCTATTATCACCTATTATTAATTAGTAATATTAATTATAAATATTAATTATAAATTATTAATGTTAATAATTAACTGTTTTAACATCATTATTAATAATATTAATAAGTAATATTTAAAATGAATACTAAATATTGGTGTGAATATTATTAATATTGATCATCAATTATTAATATTTTATAAATTAACTATATATAAATAATTAATAGTATTAATAATTAGTATTTATTGTTAATATTAATAATCATTAATATTAACATTTATTATTAATAATAATTTAATTATAAACAGGCAGTCCCCATCAAAGTTTCTCCAGGAACTTTCTAGTAAAAATGTTATTATTTAGCTCGCTGTGTAACAATTAAATAATGTAAATAATGTGGAGCATTGACCCTGCTGTGTCCAACAGTGGGGATTTTCTGTTTAAAAATGTAAAAGTAGAAGTTCAGTTATCAGTCAGCTCGGAGCAGACATGAAGTGAACACAGAGGCATTTTCTCCAGCATGGATAAACATCGATCCTGTCCTTTTACACAGAACAACAAATCTGTGTCCCACTCATTTTGTTGCTCAGGAGCTGATTTCAAAAAGACATTATTTGTGCTCATGGATGTTTGTCTGACACGGAGTGTTGGCAGCTCTGCAGCTCCTCGGAGTCACAGGCAGGTCGAGGCGTGTTCCAGGCTGTGGAATCTGTGTCATTTCCCTTAAACACGCATTCTCCTGAGGTGACTACAAATCTGTATCATGTCATCGAAGACAAGCGTGTAAAGAGACCGGGTTTTATAAAAGTTATAAAAACGTTTCATCTTCATTACTGACCCCTGCTTCAAGGTGAACGCAGACTATATTGAGTTTGTGTCTATCTTTATAAACAAAATATCTGGAAGCAATAGATGGACGTACATTTGGACCCAGCTGAACTCAAGATGGCTGCAAAAGCCAACTGATTGTAAAAACACTAAAAATAAATAAATAAATAAAATACAGCTGTTCACCTAAACTTTGTTGTGGTCGAGCTGAGACTGATCCCCAACATATACTCTGAGCACTCACAGATTGCACAAGATCATTGTTTAAACTTGGCCATTAACTGTTTGCAGTCAACTCTGTCTGTCTGTTAGCAAAATATCTCATGAACCACGTCATGGGATTTAGTGAAACTTTCAGTAAATAATCCCTGGATGTTCCTCTACAAATGTTTTACTGTAGGAAACAAACCAATTCAAAATGGCCGCCAAAGACAACTGACTTTATAAAACACTAAAATGACTATATTTCTGTAACTTTGACAGAAAACACGTTAAAATTTGGTGTGGTTGTAGCTCACGTCCTTCATAAGATGTACTTCAAGTGCTACTCAGTGCACAAGATCTGTGCTAAAACATTGGGATTAACTGTTGGAGTCAACCCTGATTGCCTGTTAGCAAAATATCTTGTGAAAACCTGGATGCACTTTAATGAAACTCTTAGAAAATAATCAATAGACACACAACAAAAACTGATTAATGCTTGGAGTCAATTCAATTCAAGATGGCCACCACAGTTTATGAACATTAGCCAACACAAAAAAGGCTATAACTCAAATAGTTTTACACAAATTGAGCTCAAATTTATTGTGGTAGTAGCTGAGAGTCATTCCCAACACATACTCTGAGCATGACGTCCTCTGATAGGACATGGGATCACAAAAAACATTAGTTTCAAGGTATAAAATGATGGTTAACTGGTCTGACTGGCAGAGGATGACACACACACACACACACACAGGCCTTTTTTTGTCCACTGTAAAACCTACAGTGCATTTAATTAACGTCACAAATTGGTGCTAGTGGCTTCTGTCTTATTCCCACAGATTATAATTTGGATCTAATCGCGGATATGAGACGCGAGTGCACACCTTAACTCGCAGTTCTGTGGTCACTTATTAACCAGCAACGTGACTTTTCTTGTAAACTTGTAAGCGACCAGTCTGAACTAAACTCACACGCGACTTGAAAAAGTTAACTTACCACTCATGTCTTTTTCCTGTGATGACACTAATGAAGCGGTTTAGTCCCGCTCCGGTCCAAACACGACTCACGAGCGAAACTCAGTGTGGAGAGCTGCCGAGCTGCACCTGCGCGCGCTGCTTTACGCAGAGCCCTGCGCGCGGAGCTGCGGCTCTAATCCAACAGCCTGCAGCCAAAACGCGGGGGGAAATTTACCCTTTTCTCCTCATAGTTCACGTTTTTCCTCACTAGCTCAGAGGCCTTAAACACTAGATGGTGCTTCAGACTAAAGTTTCTCCACTCAGAAAGTCGAATCACCTTTGTGTTATAACTTTAATTAAATTATTACAGAGTGCTCCATCAGAGGTCACACTCAGCTCTATATCACTGGAGAATTATTATGCAACCAGTTTCGTTCAGGAAGTTCCTATGACTCATCGCTGTGACTCAGCTTCCAGGAGTTTTTCTCTAAAGAAAATAAATAAATAGGTTTCTCAGCATGATCTTTTAATAAAGTTTGCTTTGTCATATTATAACTAGGTCTGTCACAATAAATCAATTAATGGCATGCTAAATGAAAATGATCAACCTCATTTTCATTTATCAGCTTAATCATTTTTATTCATTTAGTATTTAACTAAAATTCTCAACACTGGTACAATCTTAACCCTGAAAAAGTTGGTATTTGTATAAAACATAAATTATAAATATCTGAATGCATTTATTTGTAAATCTCATAAACCCATATTTTATGTACAATGAAACATAAAAAAAATGTTAAATGTTGAAACAGGAAAAAAACTATAAAAATTTATATTTTTTTATTTTATTTGATGGTAGTAGCACATGTTGAAACAGAGCAACAAAAGGTTAAAGTAAAGTGGTATAAAAAGAAAGCTGGAGGAGCTTTTAGCAGCTAATCAGGTTAACTGGTCAGTGAGAGGACTGGGCATAAAAAGAGCATTTTATAGAAACTGGATCTCAGAAGTAAAGATGGGCAGAGGTTCACCAGTCTGAAAGAACTGTCTCAGAATAGTGGAACAATTTCCCTCAAATAATAATAATAATAATCTTCTCAGCTTTAGTTTATAATATCAAAATATTTCAAGAATCTGAAGACATCTCTGTGCTCAAAGGATAAAGACACAAGTCGATGTTGGATGGTTGTGATCTTCAGCTTCTCAGGTAGAACTGCATTACATATGGTCTGAGTTTGTTTTGGACATCCCTGCATGACCTTAGGAACACTTTTATAAATAAGTGTCTCTAAATACAGTTCATCATGCCAACCACTAATTCTGGTCAAAGCTCTAGCGTGCAAAGAAGCCATTTGTGAAATGTATCCATAAATGCTGCTTCTTTTTCTTTCAGCCGAATCACGTTTGAAATGGATTTTTAAAAAGTGTAAAAGTGTTATGTGGTCAAGTTAGTTTTATTTTGAAATTCTTTTTGGAAACACACATCCTTAGTCAAGAGGAAAGGGAGCATCCAGACTTTTATCAGTGCACAGATTAAAAACCTGCCTCTCTGTTGGTATGGGGGTGCATTGCTGTCTATGGCATGGGCAGTTTATACATCTGGAAAGTCGCCATCAGTGGAAAAATACCATACCATACCATTTTATTTATAGAGCACTTAAAACAGCAGCAAGGCCAACCAAAGTGCTGTACAGACAGAACAACAGGTAACACCTGTTGTACAAATGTATATAAAGGTTTTAGAAGAACATAAACTTCCATTCAGACAACTTGTTTTTCAATGCAAAGTTTTGTGTTGCAACCATAACATTTAAAATTACTTAATTTTTTCCCCAAAAAAACCATACAATTTCTTAGCCTAAAGTTTTGTTTTGTTTATTGTGTTTCATTGTAAATAAAGTACAAGAGTTGCAAATCATTTAATTCCGTTTTTATTTACATTCTCAACCTTTTTTGAGTTAGGAAGGGATGGTATGTTTTATTATTACAGTACTACAGCATACAGGAAATGGTGCTTTTTTGAAAGCATGTGGGCAGAAAACATCAGGTCGCCCTTCGTCTCTGGGCCTCTCCAGAATAAACACCCTCTGATTGGGGAGGCCTATTTAAAATCTCAATACATGGCATCAAATTTATAGCACACACATGTTTAAAAGAAAGCACGTACATGGTAAACAGCACTGTGTAAAGTTAAAGACAAATGTAGCAGGGAAACCGTAAAGTAAGAATGCTATACTGAAATTAAAGCCTTCTTAAATGATCTAAAATTGATCATTTTCAGTGATTAAACAAAGTAAACATTAATCAAAGCATCATCTCTTGATTCACTTGCAAGCATGAATCTCAGCAGGTTGGTCCCAACATCTTGAAGAACTGATCACATCACTGTATAGACCAGGGGTGGGAAAACTTTTTGACTCGCGGGCCACGCTGAGTTCTAAAATTGGAGAGAAGGGCCGGGCCAGGAACAGATGGATGGAGCGTTTGTGTGAAGTTACACACACCAGCGCAATAACAGTCGCCGGGACGCAATTAATTATGGGCAATTCCACCTTCTGCACCACTCAAGCAGCCACTAAGTCAGATTATATGGTAGAACAGTGATTTTATTTACAATAGTGAAATTATTGACTTTGTTCCGTCTTACCAACTTCAGGCTTTTTGCTGAGCTCAGTCTTGTTTGGTGTTTGGCTCGTGACACCACGCTGTCTTCCACAGTCTCACCATGGTGGCCGAGTTTGGCTGCTCCTCACTTAGTTTCAATCCTCCAATTGTTTCTGTTTCAGTTACCGACTGTGTCGCTTCATGTAAATTCAATCACTAGCATCTGTTCATCATCACTGGCTTATTGTACACCTGATGAGAATTCAACAAAGTCTTCCACTTTGATCATGCGCTCCTATGGTCACATCAAATGTTGATTTCTTTTCTGTTCACTCACTTTGATCAAAACACACAGAATCAAAAGATTTATCAGTTCATCCTTTTTGCTTTTCTGCTGTCTGCTCTTCCTTTCTTCACTCTCTGCATGGCCTTCCTTTCCCCTGAAGGCATGCCCGGTCCATCCTCCAGTTGTCTTTGGGGGGGGGGGGGGGGGGGGTGTCAGTGGATGAGCATTCTTGTTTCTGTCTCTGAGGTGACGGCGGCACAGAGAAACTATTGATAATGGTGTTGGACCCCACTGTTGGCTCATGCTGGAATGTGTGACACAACAACGGTTTGATTGGACAGAAATAGACAAATATTCAGAAATTCTCTTCACACTTGAAGTTTTAGCTTCATAACTTCATGAACTTCAGCCAGTGAGTAAACAAGCTGCAGAGTTGTAATTTGTTTGGAAAGTGGTCCTTGTGATCATTATAATCAAACCAGTGAAGGGTCAGGATTATAGACATGTAGTCCCATATAGTAGTCTATGTGATATTGGTCCCGCTGTTATTAATGACACAGCATAAATTAGGTGGAACTGGAAACTATTTCTGCTTGCAAAACAAAGTTTTACACCTGTACGATTTTACTGTCGACTGCTTGAGGGGCAGATAAAAGTTTTAAAGCTTCCCGGCATCAAAAGCGTCAAAAAGAAGATGATGAATTGAGCATTCCACAGATTAAACTGAACCAGTGTCTGTTGCTTTTACTCCCTCCTTTGTTCCACTCTGCTCCCGCTCAGAACACAACAGGCCCGGCTCTTCATGCACCAGCTGACCCTCATGGTTCCATCTATGACTCAAGCCTGGCGACTGCACAAAATCCCTCCTTTGTCTTCACAAAGAATGTGTCTTTTTTTACTAAAAAAAAAAAAAAGAGGCAGAGAAGAGATGGAGGCGCGCGTAACTGAGAAAGATTCAAATCAGACAAGTGATTTATGTTTCCTCTGCAGGCAGGACATCAGGACTGTAGCTTCACTACTGTTCAGAATCGTGGAATTAATTATCATTATTTAAAGGAATGCATGTCCTAACCCAGTTTATTACAAAAAGTTTTAAACTAAGATCATCTTATCTAGAGAGGAATGGAGATATAGACATTAATGATGCACAATCTCATACAATATTGTGAGAGCCTTTGAGATGTTTTAGCACTCAGAGAAGGTGTTGACAATGAATTTAAGCTACTGCAACACTATATTTGTTAAGTTGATGGAGTTATAGCTATTTTTCTGTTGCTGATAACAATTAGCAGCTGTGGCCAGGCCATCTGAATTGTGACTGACACCTAAAGCAAGTCAGATGTAAAGGTACATCCAGTGAGCTTTGATCAAATCCATTCAGTGGTTCTTGAGATGTTTTGACAACAAACAGGAAGGTTTGATGACAACAGTTAATGACAAAGTTTTAAACAAAAATATGTAGTGTTTCATGCTCTGTGTACCAGTATGTGTTGGGAATAATGTTTAGCTAATCCCACACAAAAGATTAGCGCAATATCTGCAAAACTGCCTGAGTTATAGTTATTTTTGTGTTGGATAAGGTCAATTTGTTGTGGGGTTCATCTTGAACTGGGTTGACTTCAAAAGGTAATGAGCTGTAGATGTGCACTCAATATCTCTCTGAAAGTTTTATTAAAGTCCAGTTCATGACATTTTGTTAATAAACATTCCGAGGTGACTGTAAGAGTTAATGGCAAAAATTTTAACTTTATTCTTGCATGTTTAATTGGTGCTCTATGTGTTTGAATGACTCTCAGCTAATACCAAACCAAAATTCACATCAGTATGTGTAAAATTGGCTGAGCTAAAGTCATGTTTGAGTCTAATAAGGTCACTTAGCTGTGGCAGCCATCTTGAATTGAGTTGATTTGAAAAGTTAACGAGTTATAGATGTTTTTTCAAAGATGTCTCTCTGAGAGTTTACTGGTTCATGACATATTTTGCTAATGACACACACATCGACCAAACCTTTATTACCTAGGATGGGGGTGAGGAAAAGCTCTTAAATAATTTTGAATAAAGTTGTGTTTATGGGTCACAAACTGAGTAAAAATTAAAACGGAACCAACATGCCAAACTTTTTATTTGTAAAGATGAATATGGTTTGCTACAAATGTGCAGAATAGAGGGAAGAGTCGTACAGACAATTGCTTGTTTTCTTGTGTTTTCGCAGGAACAGTAGCGAGGCCTGATGAGATCTCTTAAATATCCCACAGTAATGCCATGCAATTTCCTGTTTAACCTGCGATCAACATCAGTAACACCAGTGTCAGAGA